ATAAATGTTTGACATTTTAAGTTGCTAAGTTTTGGGGGTATCCAGCTGTGTAGCAACAAATGATTAATATATATAGGGAGGGTACCTAAGGCTCCCTGAAATCATTACACAAAACAATCCCTCCAGGTTCCTTCCAGCTCTTACATCCCCTAATTCCAGGGCTTGAAATTTAAAGAAGACATTTTTATTTTTGTGGATTTACATCCATGAAGAAGTTCCAAAGATGACATATGAAGCTAATGAAATGTGAGTCTCAAATCTTTGATGGTATCCTATGGGCAAACCCTTTCACTGCTGAGTTATTACATGAAGTCCATGAAGACACAATAAAAAAGAAAGAAAAAGTGCATTAAAAGATTGCAAGGTTAGTTAGGGTCCAGAATATACAGGTGAGAAGCATCAAGTTTTATAAACATGTTGTCTCCAGCAAAATTCAAAATACTCCACTGAGTTAATAAATGCATCCACAGTCTGGAAAATAATTTAAAACAATCCAACTTCTTTTAGAAGAACAGACAAGTATTTGCTTAAACCCACTGAGGAATGGTTACCTGATGGGGCTGCTCAAGGCCCCAAGGTAAAAAGATAACCCACCCCTGTATCATGACTGTGACCCTGAAGTCTGCAGAGGTGAGGCCCCTGTGCAGCACAACATAAGGATCTGGGCTCAGCAACTGATGAGTGTCTGGGTCCCACAAGCTCTAATTCACAGAGCTTCAGTGCAATGACACAAAAAACAGGTTCTAGAATCAAACAGCCTAGGTTTAATTCCAAGCTCCACCTCTTTCTGGCTGTGACCATGACATAATTATAAAACCTTTCCTAGCAACAGTTTCCTGATCTGTAAAATGAAGAAAGTATGTTGTGTGAAATTACATGAGATATTTTATGTAAAGCTTTAGCATGACGTCTGGCATATTTGAAGGGCTGATTAACTGATTTCACTATAATACATTATTACTGAGAAATGACGTTCAAAGCAAGGAGCAGAAGGAAAATAGGTACTTCCTTAAGAGGTGGTCTGATATCAGAAGGTATCATTCATCCACTTTCCATAATAACAATACCCATTATGGCAGTTCTTAAATACATCCACCAATTCTTAGACGTTACTCATGTGCTGCGCCTGGGCTTCTGTGACCATTTCAACTGACAGTATACGTTATCAGAAATGACACTATGTGGCTTCTGAGGCCAGGTCAAGAAAAGTATTTCCTTTCTGCCTTGCTTATGGGAATACTTATACTTAAAGCCTTGAGTTGCCATGTAAGCAGCTGACTTCCTAGAGCTGCCATGTTGTGAGGAAGCTCAAACTAGCCGAGGCAGAGACCACATGAGGCTATGAGTCTGGAAGAAAGGTAGGCTGGGTCACTACCCACTGTTCCAGCTCCAGCCACACATTAATGCCACCTGTATGAGGGACCCCAAACCAGAATCACTCAGGTAAGCCGTTCTCAAATCTCTGGCCCATAGAAACCATGAGAGCTAATAAAATAATTGGTGCTATTTTAAGTCATTAAGTGTTCGGTGATTTTTTTCAGGCAGCATTAGAGAAGTAGAGTATCTATGATGAGTATATGCAACACTCATACACAGTTAGCCTCCCCTGCCTCCACCTCATTTCATCCTCACAATTGCACTGGGAAGAACATGTTATTATTTTCATTTTATAATGATGAAATAGACTCCAAAAGGGTAACGGAATTGTCTAAGATCACATGACTAATGAGTAGCAAAGCAAAGTCTCCTGTTCCACAATTCTGACACCAGTTCCAGTGATTGTCTTTCTTCTGTACAAAAGCTAAGTCCTAGCATGGACCTGAACTGGAAAGCCAAGAAAAAAATACACATATCCATACACACATGTGCATAAGTGAAGATCAAAGGGGATCGTTCTGCTGCAACTTCTGAGGCACACAGAGGCCAGGCCATCACTGAAATAGCACCGCCCAGACAACAGAAATATGCAAGAATAAGACAGGCAGCTATTTGTAAGTCATGTAATTAGCAAATGATAATAGGGCAAAAGGACTGATGAGGGCCCATTGTTCCTATCACCAGGTAGCTCAGCTGACAGCCTTGGCATCATGGTAGAAGAGTTTTCAGAAACGCTTTTTGGAACCCAGAGAAGTTTCAGCAACACCCACAGATGGTGACAGCATCACTGGTTACGTGGCCCTGCACCCTGACAGGATGTCAAGATGAGCTTCAGCACTTGGAACCAAAAAGTGCTGTGATGATGAAGGGAGTTTCTATTTTGACTCCACTGACTGACATTTCTTGTCTGCCTCTGGCTTTTTCACTAAAATCCTTCAAGACACCAAATGATGGAGACTGAGGAAGTATACTGCTCTTGGGTAGGAAGCCAGCACCTTGCAGAGAGTGCTTTGAAATGTGACTGTAGCAGGCTAAGATTTTTAAGTGCATCTACAGAAGTTCTGAATAGGACCATGGGTTCATCACAGAAGAATTCGATCAAAAATAACTTCTTAAGAATCTAAGAAAATGATCAGTAAAGACAGAAAGAGAAGAAGAACAAAATCCAATTCTCAGGAACAAAAGATGAGAAAATAAGTTGTACTAAAACTCAACATGGCTATTCGGGCAGACACCCAGCTACCTGCAAGGAGTTATTTTTCCACGCTCTGTGGCGCCTGAAACCCCAGCGAGACAACCATTCAATTCCCTGGAAAGGAAGCTGAAGCCAGGGAGCCAAATGTTCTAGCTCAGTGGATTCCCCCAACCCCACACATGGATGCCAGCAAGCTAAGATCCACTGGCTTGAAATTTTCACTGCCAGCACAGCACTCTGAAGTCTACCTGGGAGGATCCAGCTTGGTGGGGAACGGGGCGTCCACCATATTGAGGCCTGATGTGGTTTCCCCTCACAGTGGTAAGGGGAGAGAAACTCCTGGCTGGAGATATAACAGCAGGAAGAGAAATCTCCCAGCAAACATGACTCATTTTCTCTCATTTATGTCTTCTTTTTCCCTTTTCCTTTTTTATTTTCCACCTCCACGATTCTTACTTGTTCTTTAGGTTCTAAGTCATAAGAGTGTAAATGCACTTGGGGAAAACATGTGCTCACTTTGGACCATCATACCTGGTTAGCAGAGTTCCCATCTAAACTAACCCTTTCTACACCAACCCCATGGTTGTGATCTGCTAGCACAGAACTTGAAATAAATCCAGTATGTCTTCACCAAGGCAAGAATGGAAGATCTGTAAGTGAGGGACCTCCCCAGACCAGCCTAGAACAAAGGAACCTGTTAACATGGCTCAGTGCCTGTTTTCATACATACAGATATTAACTAACACAAACCACTGACAATGGTTGTCAAAGACTGGCATACAGTCACAGTGAATGAATGTGCAGCATTTATCACATTCTGACATCTGTACTTATTTATCTATCATCTCTCCCCTATCTCCTATGACAGAATGGAGGGAACCAGAGGGAAGGGGGTTCTTTTTTCTAGCTGTTGTTCACTGCTGTTTCCCAAAACATAAAACAGAGATACAAAACACGAGTGCAATAAATGTTTGCTGAATGGATAGATAGATGAATGAGCGATGGCGATGCAGTGGAACCACGTCCTCGCTCAGGTTCTCTGGGTTTGGCTGAAGGACCAACTCACTAGGTCCTCAATTCTTTCCTGCTGTGACGGACATTTGTTTCACATGGTTCCTTCTCACATGGCACATTTCTCCTTGGATATTCTCTGACAGACATCCTCTACCTCTCCAGCAATCCATACTTCAACCAGGCTTGAGAAACCTGAGACATGCTCCTATCCTCAAGGGCTCTCCTTGGCCATTTGTTTAAAGTCTCCTCCATTACCACTGAACTTCCAAAGAACTTAGTCTACACCACTGAGGAAGCCCCATATTTTTTAGTGACGTGGGATAGTCACATTTTGAGATACAATGGATGGCATCACCAATATTACTAATGACCCCATTCAAACAAATAGCATACTACAGTTTGCAAAGTGTTCTCTCTTTAGGGAGTCTGAAGTCTTAACCATTCTTTATTCCAGAAAATGGAATAAAGGTCACATCTGTGTTTAACCAAAAATAATAAAAACTAACCTTCATTTTGAAAATGTACTATGTGCTAGGTGCTAGTCAAGGTTTTATATGACCATCCTATTTACTGCTCACAAATACTCCATGAAGCACATCTAATTTTCTGAAGTTTACTGATGAGACACCTGGAGTTCACAGAAGTTAAAGCAACTGGCTCAGGCTCAAGTGTGCTCAGTGCATAAATTGCTAACGCCGGGTTAGGAATTTAGTCTTGTCTATGGCTGAAAAGGCCTTCCTATGAATAGGCATGCTCCAATTTGTCTCCACCACGAGAACTGGAAATGAGTGTATGGGCGTTCACTGCACATATAAGCATGGATTCAGGTATTTGAGGAAAGAGAAGACAGTTAAGTGTCCCACAGTTCCAAAGAGGTGCTAAGAAAGAAAGCAGCCTCTAAAAGGGGAGAAGCAATATTAAGCTATAAAAGTTCAAATTAATGCTTTAAATAAGGAACCAGTCCCTGGTTCTGAATTGCAGAGGCTGTTTATATGGTGAAGTGATAATGAGGTCTAAGGGTACTGCCCAACTGGGCCATAACTCCAGGTATACCACTCACACCATAGTCTAAGAAACAGGGCCTATAGGATGACAGCTAGGTGTAGAAACCCTGGGCATGTCAACATGAACCAAACAGACACAAGTGCAAGGTTCCATCCCTTAGCTCCTCTTAATATCTGTGGATTAAGCCTTCTTATATCCCATTTTCAGACGGGAAAACTGAGGCTCAGAAAGGCTAAATGACTTGTCAGGCCATTCAGCAAAGTTAGCGAGCAAGCCAGACATACACATCGGTCTAGAATCAACAATGCCAGTTCTTGGCATCTGGCTGTGTTTCCAGAAGGCATCTGCAAGGGGTGAGGGCAATCGGGACTTCGGACAACTTCCTCCCCAGGCTGCAGATGCCCTTTACCTCGCATTTCTCCACGACCGGCTGCTGCCCACACTCAGAGCTGTTGCCTGCCACGATGCCAGCCCGAAGGTTCTCGCTGTCTCCAGTGCCCTCCTCCATGGAGTAGGTCTTGGAGTGGTTGCCTCGTCGATGGGCAGGGGCTCGGCCCTGGGCCAGGCTGAGCTGCCTGCGGAGGGCGCGGTTCTCCTCCTCCACCTCGCGCATGCGCACCTCCAGGCTCTCTCTTTCCCGTTGGCTGGAGGCCGTGTACCTGGGGCTGTGAGCCTGGGACTCCAGCGGTGACAGAGACACAGGCTTTCCATCTGGGGAGCGAGAGACCAGAGAAGCGTTAACCAAGATGAACCATGCCACAAGCCCCTCCAAGTTTCCCAGACATCCATTCCCACATGGCGAGGCTCCTTGCACAATCCCATGTTTAAGGGAAGCAGATGGAAAATGAGTTACAAATAAACGCATCCAGATTGAACTGGGAACAAAGTTGAGAACAGAACAACTTATTATGGTGATAGAAACTAATATGCTTTTTAGAGATGGCAATCATAATAAAACTGTTTCTAATTAAATGTACTGTCTTCCTCTACTTGGCATGTTTCTACGTAGGCATTCTTTTTTTTTTTTTTTTTGAGACGGAGTTTCGCTCTTGTTACCCAGGCTGGAGTGCAATGGCGCAATCTCGGCTCACCGCAATCTCCACCTCCTGGGTTCAGGCAATTCTCCTTCCTCAGCCTCCCGAGCAGCTGGGATTACAGGCACGCACCACCGTGCCCAGCTAATTTTTTGTAATTTTAGTAGAGACGGGGTTTCACCATGTTGACCAAGATGGTCTCGATCTGTTGACCTTGTGATCCACCCGCCTCGGCCTCCCAAAGTGCTGGGATTACAGGCTTGAGCCACCGCGACCGGCCCTCTACGTAGGCATTCTTAACAATAAAGAATTATGGGCTGCGCGCGGTGGCTCACGCTTGTAATCCCATGAAGCAGGTATAATCTCTTGATCACAAGGTCAAGAGATCGAGACCATCATGGCCAACATGATGAAACTCCATCTCTACTAAAAATACAAAAATTAGCAGGGCGTGGTGGCATGCGCCTGTAGTCCCAGCTACTTGGGAGTCGGAGGCTGGAGAATTGCTTAAACCCAGGAGACAGAGGTTGCAGTGGGCGGAGATCACACCACTGCACTCCCGCCTGGTTACAGAGAGATACTCTCTCAAAAAGAAAAGGATTATGAAAACAAAGGGTGGGGGGGATTGGAGAGAAAAACAATGGAGGGAAGGAGTATGAGGAAGTAGAGGACAGCAAGAGAGGAAGAGAAGGAGTAAAAAGAAAAAAGATAGTAATAATGAGTAAGTTTACTGAGCTCTTCCTATGCAAACTCCTATACATCTTTCAAAATCCTGTTTTCAAAGCATCGCCTCTCAGGGGAAACCATCCTCCATTTGCAGGCAAGGTATCTTTCCACATATTCCTATAATGATTTGAATGTAGCACTACGAAAACATGTATCTGCCATACTGTATTTGGTAAACAGTTTTACTAAATGTTTCCTATGAAGACTGGGAGTTCAAGGTAGGCAAAGGCAGGTCTTACTTGCAGTAACATGTCACAAAGTCTGAGAAATGCCAGAAGGGTGGATGCATGGTTCCATGCCAAGAATAAAATAATTAAAGGCAACAAAGAAGGAAGATACAGGAGCATGATACATCTCAAGGTTTTCCCAGAAAAACAGTTACCATTAAAGTGAGTGCCAGCAACACTCTGAACAATCACACAACGCTGCAATAAAAACTCAGGCACAGAGAGAGGATAAACAGGTCTCTCAGTGTGATACCGGCAGAATGGCAGGGGCAGAATTCGCAACCAGGTCTCTCTGATGGATGAGCCTGTGCACTCTCCCTTTAAGTAAATGTTCATTACAGGTTATTCAAAGAGCTAACATTTAAAAAACATAGTATAAAAACCCCATCTCCCAAGAATACTTAGCGTATCACCTTGTATACAGTAGGTGCTCAAGGCATGCTTATTGTTCAGGAGTCCCAATGACACAAGGCATACCCAAAGCTATCACTTATTTCTGTTTCCACTCTGCAGAAATCCTGGGCTCCAGGCATTTACAGCCACCTCAGGGATTACTTAGCAAAAAAGCATTATCTCTAGAAAATCATCTTCTCTCAGCTGCCTGTCAAAAAAAATGCTCTTCTTTATCCATACTTCAAGTTTTTCCTTCCTGCCCAGACCCCACTGAGCTTCCAAACTGTCCCAGAGAGGCTCTGTGACTCACGAACTTGAGGATCAAAGAATGTGATGAATTACACCCTGTACATCTCACTTGTGCTGTTTCGGCCTCTGCCCAGGGCGTGTGATGTATCTTTGGACCTTAACAAATAGGACTCATCTTTTTTTTCCTCTTAATCACCTCAGGGTTAAACGCCTAAGCTCCTGGTCTTCTCCTATCAATGCAACGAATATGCTTCACTGAAGTGCACTGCCTGGGACCACAAAATCAAAGGCCGAGGCAGAATCGGGAGGTGATGTGAAATCACAGGTTGATTAGGGTTGCACTGTCACCGGCTGGCCAATTACAAGCTCCAACCCAAACTTTTGAAGACCTGTCTCCCTGTTTGGTACAAGTAAGAATGAAAAAGAATAGGCAGCTATTCATAATTGTGTTTTCTTAACTACCATTGACCCTTTGAGCAGGAGTGGGTAAAGATGAACATCTGGCTTCCACAGGAGTTACGCTTCCTTGACTATCTACATGGATGTGCACCACGCTAGGCAGCTCATGCTGATAATGCCCTAGGTTGCTATCGGCACAAGGAAGTGGTAATCGTTATCCCCATTACTGATCCAGAGACTGAGACTAAAGTTTAAACCGTGTTCCTATTATGTTGCAGCTTGACTGTAAACAAGGTCTCCTGGATGTTGCACTCAGCTATGCTCCTGCATTTATGTGCTAAGTTAAGAGGTAAAAGGCCGGGCATGGTAGCTCATGCCTGTAATCGCAACACTTTGGGAAGCCAAGGCAGGCAGATCATGAGGTTAGGAGTTCGAGACAATCCTGACCAACATAGTGAAACCCTATCTCTACCAAAAATACAAAAAATTAGCTGGGTGTGATGGCACATGAATGTAATCCCAGCTACTCGGGAGACTGAGGCAGGAGAATCACTTGAACCTGGGAGGCGGAGGTTGCAGTGAGCAAAGATTGCGCCATTTCACTCCAGCCCACCCACCCTCACCAAAAAAGATAAAGCTCTGGAGACTGAGAGGGTCTCCTCCTCAGGAAAGGATTCTGGATCTTCGGGGCAGAAATGCGGAAAGGTCAACAGGGTCCCAGGGTCTCCAGAAAATTAACAAATGGGAACTGTCTGGAGTTTCTTCTCTGGAGTTTCTTCTCATCAATGCTCTGAGCTTCGTTTTTCTCTTCTGTGAAATGGGAACATAAACGTTCCAGTAAGAGTAATGGTAGGCTTAAGGAAGATCAACAAAATACAGAGGACTGTGCTCCTTATTGGGAGGCGCTTGGCATCAGTGAGCTCTTGTGACCCCTTCTCAGTGAGGGAAAGTCACACCATGTGTAAGATGAGTTGATGATGTAAAGATATAAAACACCGTATTTTCAGAACACAGGGTTGTTCTGTGTGTTGTATATGGGAACAAGTAGTCAACAGACCTTGGCTTCCTTTGTTATGTACTCTGAGATGACGCACTGCTGACCTTCCTGCCTTCATCCTTAGCCGGGTTCAAGGTTAATCCTTACAAACATGGAGGAACAGGCAAGCAGGCTTCACCAAAGAGGCTTGGTCACATTCTCCAGCCCCTCTCCTGAAAGCCCCAAATTTTAAACATTTATGTAAATTATAATTGCTTGATTGTGGTCTTAAGAGAAATGCTATTCGACATCCTGTGTCCATTTCTGAACTGCTTTAGAACCCAAATGGTTTTAATCAAATTTAACTCCCAAAGACTAGCAGGGGTTTTCTCACTATTAAAAGCCCTAGAGATTTGTCATCAATGAAGCCAAATCAAATAAGTAATGTCAGGTCTCAAAGAGAGGAACCAATGTTGAAAAAAGCAACATTCCTGCTGTGCCCAACTCCTGGCATGGAAGAAGTGCTCAATGAATGGCAGAACTGTCCTTTCTGGTTTGTTCCACTGCCTTGGGCCAGCCCCTTCCTTTTCCTCAGCCAGTTCCGCCTTCTGAAAGGCGGGGCCCTGGAGATGTGCTCCGAGTCCCCTCTTGGCTCTAACTCTTCGGAGCTGTATGCTCCAGATGATCCCACCACCACATGATCAGAAGTGAATACAAGTGGGCCCTGTGCCTCGCCAGATTCACAGCTCATTCTAGTTTTACTCAGCCTGACTCTGGCTTTTATTCCTGGACTATTCCTTTTTCTGGCTCCTGACCTTCTTGCTCAGGCTTCTCCTAAGTCTCTGAGAATAAGGGGAGGAGAGAGGATCTGCATTTCTCTGTTACGTTTTACAGGCACTGGTCCGTCGCAGGAACACTCCTCCATCTTTGTGTACAGGCCGTAAAGCCCATCACACAGGGTTATGTAAATGACTGCCCACATTGGTATTTCTCAAACTACCAGTGGTGAAGAACCAGTTTGTCTCCCTCCCCCCATCCATCCTGGACACAAATTGGCCCCTAACACACAAAAGTAAAAAAAATAGAGCTTGGCCCACGTGTAACTCATCACTGGAATTAAACAAATTGGTCTATACTATGTTAATCAAGACTATCGATCATACACTTGATGCTGGCGACAAAGTCCACTTGCTCTAGATGTTTCCAATTGCCTAGTCTCTAGTTCCATAGGTATTTTGCTGCAGACCAGCAACAGTTTAAGGATTGTAATGGTTAGTTTTATGCGTCAACTCAACTCGGCCACGTGCTACCCAAATATGTGGTCGAATGTCGTTTTGGATGTTCTTTTTAAAGGTGTTTTCGGATGAGATTAACCTTTAAATTGGTAGACTGAGTAAAGCAGGTATCCTCTCTTGGTGTGGGTTGGCTACCTCCCACTAGTTGAAGGCATGAATAGATCAGAAATGCTGAGCATCCTCCAAATACAACAGAACTCCTCTTGCCTGACAGTCTTTGAATTGTAATGTCATCCTTTTCTTGCCTTTCAACTCAAACTGAATCACCTGATCTTTCTAGGTCTCGAGCCTGCCGGAATTTGGAATGGAACTATACCGTGAGATCTCCTGGTTTGCAGGCTTTTGGACTTAGACAAGAACTCCACATCGGCTCTCCTGGGTCTCCAGCTTGCTGACTCACCCTGAAGATTTT